AGCGCTACTGCCGCGCCGAGCGCGTGTTCTTGTGCGAGACCTGCGCCGCCCAGGACCACCGGGGCCACGAGCTCGTGTTGCTGGAGCAGGAGCGCGCGCTCCAGGAGGTGGGGAGCGGGCATCTCGGGCGGCAGGGGAGCTCCCGCCTTCTCGGGTGGGACCTGAATTTCCTCTAAGGACCTTTATAGTCCCTCCAGCCTTGACAGTGGCATCTGCTCTTGATGGTGGGGATAGCAAAGAAAGAGGAACCAGTAACAACGCCTAAAGGACAGGAAGAGCGGGGCAGGGGGACACCAGCGTCCTTGGGGGTGCGAGGAGGGCAGAAGCCGTGTCAGGTCCCCCTGCACGGTGCGGGCTGGACGCTGCTGTGGGCTGATGCTATGGACTCGGCTCAGATTTGCCCTGGGCCGAAGCAGCCGCTTTGGATGGGTGTGGCAGGCGGCAGGAGTGTGACAGAGCAGGCTGGGCGCACAGATCCTCTCTGTCCGGCCGTTTTGGGCTGTGGTGGGAGCATGTGCACGGAAAGCTTCCTCCGCCCCCAGTTTCCTTTGGCCTCCAGCCTGGTGTTGGCGTCTCTGGCCTTGGGATTTTCCGCCTCTCCTGCCTAGAGCAGTGACTCATAAGACCCGGGGGATTTGCCCGGAATCCCCTTTATTTCTGGCCTGGGTTGGGGACACAGGCTTTTTGGCCACAGTGATCCCCAAGACAGCTTAAAGCCCTCTTGTGCTTTACACCTCCATAACCTCTCACAGCTCTCTTCCCCCACTGGAGGAAATTCTCAAATGAATTTGAGCAAAATTTAGACCCGTGGATGACCCAGCACTGGCCGGGCACTCACAGTTAGCCTGCCCTCTCCGGGAATTCATCCCAGAATCCCACAGCCTGGGCAGCCCGGGCTCCAGGCACCTCTGGCATGACATGGGACATCACGACCATGCCCACCCATGCACAGATGCCACTCCTTGGTCACCCCGCCACTCTTCCCTGCAAGTCCAGGACCCTAGTGCAGGGCTGGGGCTCCTGCCTGTCTCCGAGCTCAGGGAGGATGTCGCCCGCAGGCTGAGCAGCCCAAAGTCCTGAGCGCTGTGGAGGACCGCATCGATGAGCTGGGTGCCAGCATCGCACAGTCCCGGCGCACCGTGGCCCTCATCAAGGTCAGACACCCCGAACCCCCACCCGTGCATCTGCAGGCCCCCAGCAGTGTGAGGTCAGTGGAGTGTGGTACCCACTGAGCACCCACATTTCCCTGACCTGGCACAGATCCAGGGCAGGCTCGGGCGGCCCCTCTGTCCCCCAGAGAGGACAGGGTGGTCACCTGGCATCTGGGAAGAATGGGGCCAAAGGCCCGGCTTGTTCTTTGCTCCTCACTGCTGCCTCCATTGCATTCTGTGCAGAATGCAGCTGTGGCAGAGAGGGAGCGGGTGAGCCAGCTGTTTGCTGAGGCTGCGGCTGCCCTGCATAGCTTCCAGAAGGAGGTGTTGGGCTTCATTGAGGAGGGGGAGGCCACCATGCTGGGTCGATCCCAGGGAGACCTGCGGCGACAAGAGGAACAACGCAGCCGCCTAAGCAGGGCCCGCCACGACCTCAGTCAGGTCCCGGAGGCTGACTCAGTCAGCTTCCTGCAGGTGAGGGCAGCTTGTAAGGCACAGCGGGGAGAGTGGGGGACACTGGGTGCCCAGCCTTCTAGAGTTGTCCAGCATCCTGGTGGTGCTGTCCCTTCCAGTGGGGAGGCGCTGTGGCCAGCAGTTTTAATGGGTACTTGTCTGGTGCAGGAGCTCCTGGCACTACGGCTAGCCCTGGAGGAGGGGAGCGGCCCTGGGCCCAGCCCCCCAAAGGAGCTCAGCTTCACCAAGTCGTCGCAGGCTGTCCGGGCGGTGAGAGACGTGCTGGCCTCGGCCTGTGCTGTCCAGTGGGAGCAGCTGCGGGGGCAGGGCAGTGACGAGGACGGGCTGCAGAAGCTGGGCTCAGAAGGTACCTGCCCCCCCAGATGATTCACCCTCCCCAGGCTCCCCACACAGGGCCCTGGGGATAGAAGAGGGGAAACTGTGTGCCTGGCACCATCTTGTCTGCTCTTTAGCCACAGCCAGGAGGGCAGAAGGGGCTCCTCCTAGCCAACTGTCCAGCTTCAGAGGGGCTGAGGTCCAGGGAGCAAGGGGGGAAAGCAGCAGCACTCATGCACCAGCGTGCAAGAGGACACAGGGTGCCGTATTTGGGTGTGTGCTTGTTCCCAGGTGACTTGGGCTCAGGAGGAAGGAGGGGGATGAGAACTAGAGGTTTGGGGGTGGGCACTGTGCCCAGCAGCCTGGCCATGGGCAGTCTAGGAGATCTTCTCCCACTGTCTCGCTTCTGCAGCTGAAGCCGAGTCCCAGGACCCCGATAGCACCAACCTCCTGGACAGCGACGTACCCAGGGACTACTTCCTCAAGTGTAAGTGGACACGGAGCCCTCTGGCTCCCACCGGGCCTCCCAAAGCTGGGCACAGGCACCAGAGGGTTTGCACGCCCCTCACTAGATCCTGGGGCAGCAGGGTCATCACAGCGGTGGCCTCTTGCGCTGAGGGCTGCTGTTGCAAAGGAGGGGTGAGGCTGTGTTTGGGGGAGGCGGGCACCTTCCGGGGACCCGTCCCATCTGAGCCTGGTCTGAGCCTCATCTCTTCCATCTGTGTGGCCAGTTGCCTACATTGTGGACTTGGACAGTGACACGGCAGACAAGTTCTTGCAGCTGTACGGAACCAAAGGTGTCAAAAGGGTGCTGTGTCCCATCAACTACCCGGAGTCAGCCACGCGCTTCACCCACTGTGAGCAGGTGCTGGGCGAAGGCGCCCTGGACCGAGGCACCTATTACTGGGAGGTAGAAATCATCGAGGGTTGGGTCAGCGTGGGAGTCATGGCCGAGGGCTTCTCCCCGCAAGAGCCCTACGACCGGGGCCGGCTGGGCCGCAACGCGCACTCCTGCTGCCTGCAGTGGAATGGACGCAACTTCTCTGTCTGGTTCCATGGACTGGAGGTGGCCCTGCCCCACGACTTCTCACCCACGGTTGGGGTCTGCCTGGAGTACGCTGACCGTGCCCTGGCCTTCTATGCCGTGCGTGATGGTAAGATGAGCCTCCTGCGGAGGCTGAAGGCGTCCCGGCCACGCCGGAGTGGCGCCTTGGCCTCCCCGACTGACCCCTTCCAGAGCCGCCTGGACAGTCACTTTGCGGAGCTCTTCACCCACAGGCTCAAGCCTGCCTTCTTCCTGGAGAGTGTGGATGCCCATCTGCAGATCGGGCCCCTCAAGAAGTCCTGCATAACCGTGCTGAAGAGGAGGTGATATGGCCAGCCACCTCCCGCGGCCACCCTAGTCTGGGCGGACCTCCGAGGAAGGCACCAGCCTTAGAAAGCCCCACACATTCCCAGCTTTTTCACTTCTAGAGGCCTCCACCTTCTATAACTTGGCCTTCTGCCTCCCTCAGGGAGGAGGCCCCCCACCAAGCCTTGTTTTGTGGAGAGAGAACTTAACCCTGGGACAGATCCAACCTCTCCTTTTCTAGGTTTCTAGGACAATGCCTGGCAGGCAGTAGGTGCTCAATAAACATTTGTTGAATGAATGAGTCCCTTTCTCACCCTTTTCCCTACCCAACCAATAATTCCTAAGACTTCTCAGCTTTCCTCCCCAACCCCTTTTCTGAATTCAAGGCTTTGCACTGAGCTACACTCTCAGCCCTTTTTGTTTTCTTATATGGGAACAGGGTCTTGCTAAGTTGCTTAGGCTGGGTATGAATTTGGGATCCTCAGCCTCTCAAGAGTGCTGGGACTACAGGCAGCTTTTGAGAGCTGGCAGGCAGGCAAAGCCCCTGGCCCAGGAGGTGGGGACTGAAACTGCCTGCTTCTCAGGGGACCCTCTCTCCCTGGTTCTAGACAGGGCAGCCAGAGGTGGCTTCTCCCACACGGTCCAGCCACAGGGCTACATAGTTGTCCTGGCTGCCCCAATGTTTGCTTTGAATGGCTGGGCTCCCACTGCTGTTTTCATCCTTGACACCACAGCCAGTTCTGGGCCTGCCTTTTGCTGGTTGTGCCCAGAATTAAACACGGACGTCACACCCTAAGAGCAGGGTAGGACGTGGGCAGGCGAGCTGGAGACCTGGGCTTCCTTCACTGCCACAGTCTCATACAGAGATGTGGCTGAGGCCACCCCAGGGTGTGGCGGGAGCCCAGGACATCTACAATAAAGGGCCAGTGTCCTGTGGAGTCTGCCCAGCTGTGTGCCTGCAGCACAACCCTGGTTCTCTAAGCTGGAAAGCGCCTCTGCTGCCCCAGACCCGCTTTCCTAGCCTGTGTTGCCCTGTGCGTGGCTGGGGGTCCTTATGTTTCCAGGCCAGCTCCCTCCCTGGGGTTCTCCATGGTCCAGGTGCACCCCAGAGTGGATCCAAGAGGGCAAGAGACAGGCAGAAAGCCTTCCAGCCACCAGGCAAGGTCAAGGGGGACAATGGGTGACTTATGCAGCCAGACAGCAAGGCCTTACAAGTCCAGGCCCTGGCTGCCTCCAAGCTAAAAATAGCCCCGCCCACAGAGCAGGCCTGGGCTCCAGCAGCCAGGATGTTGTTTTTCCGGGTGGGGCCTCCCTGCTCCTGGGGCTTTGTGTTCTCTACCCGGTTCCCATGGCAGCCACAGGTCCCTCAGGTCCAACTCACCCTCCAAGGGGGTGAGTGGGAAACCTGTCTAAAGGCCAGTGGGGGTCAGTGGGGCTTCCTAGCCCCCTGCCCACCAGCTGCCAGCTCCCACCTTTCAGCCCAGCCCTAGGCTACCTTCTCTGTCTTACCTCCCCCACTTTGGCAGTCCACATGCTGCCCTTCCAGAACCCTCTGAACCCTCTGCCCCCGACCTGGAGGAAGCTCTGACCTGTCTGCACACTGGTGCTTGCTAGCTGAGGGCTCACACAGGCCAGGAGCTTCCTTGATAGAATTTAGTCCAACTGATCACGTCCATGGACAGCCTCTTACAGAGTGACTTCCAGCTTCAAAACTGGCATGGGACCCTGTGAAATCAGTGACTTTTTGTTTTGTTTATTTTTGAGACAGGGTCTCACTATGTAGCCCAGGCTGGCCTGGAACTGTCAACAATTTTCCTGCCTCAGCCTCCTGAGTGTTGAAATTACAGGCGTGCACCACCACACCTGTCTCTAACAGTTTTTTTTTTAATCGGACGAGATGTTATCTGTTTTATTCAAGATTGCTTGAAAAAGACTATTAAAAAGAAAAAGTTAGGGCCAGGGATTTAGCTCAGTGGTGCTGCACCTGCCTCGCAAGCACAAGGTCCTGAGTTCGATTCCCCGTACCAAAGAAAGGAGGACCACAGGTCTAGTTGGGCTGCCATTAATAGACGGAGAAGCTCGGGCCAAAGGTGGTGAGGAGCTGCCCAGTCCAGGACGCCACAGGGTAGGTGTGTCCTGTGCTTAGCAATGTCTAAAGGCACGCACACACGCACAACCCTGCTGCCCAGCCTCTCAGCCTGTGTAAGAGCTGTCTGTACTCAGCTTCAGTTCCCACGCTCCCGCCTTGGCAGAGCTCCTCAAGGGTCTACAGACTCAGACGCTCCCACTGCCAGAACCCCCACCAGTTCCAGACAGCAGCACAGGGGTAGAGGTTTGAGGCTATGGTGCTGCAAGCTGAATAAGGTTCCTTCGGGCCAGGCATGGAGCCAACCTCCACTTGAGCTTTGCGTCTGTGGGAAAATAAGCTCCAGAGCTCAAGACAACTGGCTGAGAAGCGGGCTTCAGCAATGCTCCCTCTCAGCAGCCGCAGACTACCGGGTCCTGCAGCCTTCACTGCCCCCAGTGCCTCCCCAAGTTCTAGGAGGCAAGAGGCCCATGGCCTTCTCCTGGGCCTCCTGGGTTCCTCCCCGCCCAGGTCCCAAGCAACACTCACCTCCTTTCCTTGCCAGCCTGAGAGGGTGAGGCTGGACCCAGACAGTGGCCGAGCTGAAGTCCTGGCCAGGAAGATGGGGGTGAGCTGGGCGTGGCAGAGGCCTGCAGTTGTCTCTATTGGGCTGGAGTTGTTTGTTGCCCCAGGGAGGGAAACAGCATTCAGCCCCACACCCAACAGCACACTTTGCAGTGGATGCCAGCATTTAGGGTCTGGAAGACAGGGCCGTTCCCTTCTGCAAGGTCTCATCTCCAAGATGCATGAGAACCACAGGGCGGGCGGGGTGCCGAGTGGTACAGGGCTTGCCAAGCTCATTGTCCTCCCCGAATGCTCTTAGAGAAGGGGTAACAGATGCCACCCACATGGGCTCAGCAGTAATGGAGCCAGCCCAGAGACAGCAGGAAATAGTATCTCTGATTCACTTTAATATAAAAAATGGTTTTTCACTTTTGGGGAATGTTTTTTTGTTTGTTTGGGTTTTTGGTTTTTTTTTGGGGGGGTACCAGGATTAAACTCAGGACCTTGCAAATGGTACCACTGAGCTAGCTAGATCCCCAATCCTGTTTTTGTTGTTATTTACTTATTTATTTATTTTTTTGTACCAGGGATTGAACTCAGGACCTTGCGTTTGCAAGACTGGCACTGGAACCACTGAGCTAAATCCCTGGAGTGTTTTTTGTGTGTGTGTGTGTGTGTGTGTGTGTGTGTGTGTGTTTTGTTTTTTTGAGAGAAGATCTCACTATGTAATTCAGGCTGGCCTTGAACTCACTAGTTAGTTCTGTCTGGCTTCGAACTCAGCAATCCTCCTGTTTTAGCCTCCTGAGTGCTGGGATTACAGGTGTGCACGACCATACCCAGCCTTTTTGTTTTTGTTTTTGTGAGACAGGGTCTCACTATGTAGTTCAGGCTGGCCTTGAACTCACTATGTAGCCTGGGCTGGCCTTGAACTCAAGGCAATCCTCCTGCCTCAGTCTTCCAAGTGCTGGGATTATAAGAATGGGCCACCAGCCTAGTTTGGAGAATGGTTTTATGTGTGAATTCAGGAATCTGAAAGTCAGGGTAGGGGTGTAGCCCAGTGGTAGAGTACGTGCTTGGCACATGTGATTAATGTGCAGGAGACTCTGGGTTTGATTCTCAGCACCGGAAAAAAAATAGTGGAATCAGGAAATCTTGGCTAAAACTTCTACCTGAGCCATTTCCTAACTATGCCTTTGAGCAAGAAACCCAAAGGTCCTCTATGCCTCAGCTTCCGCTGGTCCCTCCAGAGCACCCTCTTGTAGAGGAGCCCCTCAGCCCTGGCTTCTCTGTTTGGGGCCGGCTGTCATCAGAGGTGACCCCGCCTCTCTCCGGCTCTCTGGGCTTTGGGAGGCACAGATGTAGAAATGGACAGCAGTAGGGCTGTGTAAACATTCCTGCAGCAGGAATCACTCAGAACAGACTTCACAGTTGGGTCTGGAGAAACTGAATTTGATGGAGCCTGGAGGTCCCCGCTGGAACCTCAGGGTGGGGCCCATCTCCATGGCAACCAGAAACCGCCCCAGTTTTGCATTGGCCCTACCTCCTCAGGAAGGAATAGAGAAGTTGTGTGCTTGAAATACCCATGGCCAAAAAAGGGCCTGGCCCGAAATAGCTCACGTCCACATCACCAGCATCTCACATGGTATCTGCCACTCCACCCCAGCTTGGCCAGCAGCAAATGGCAGAAAGTCCAGGACTACCAAGTCTTTTCTCCCACCAGGTTTTTCAGAAGATGACAATTGGCCAGGTGAAAAAACTTCAGTGACTCAAGCATGCACCTGTTTCATACACGCAGGTGTAAGAAATGTCTGTTTTGGTAGTCTTCCTAAATCAACTAAACTGTAACCTCAGGTGTGTTTGGAAGTCCTCCTTTCCAACAGAATAATAATCTACATTTACATGGTGCCTAGAGGATGACAGAGCTTTGACTTTTTGTCCTCTAGGGCAGCTGCTAAGGTGCCCACTGTCGGAGTAAAACCACTCTTTACCCCTGCCAAAGCTGCACTCTCCCAGGCTAAGCAAGTTTTGAGGATTGTGCCAAACTATTCGCTCAGCTCCAAACTCACCGCATTAGTTTCTTAGGGCCTTGGTAGCAAAATATCATGAACCAGCTGCTTAAACAACCTAAACATATTGTCTCTCAGTGTTGGGGAGGCCGGGCATCCAGAATCAAGGTGTTGGTAGGATTATTTCTGGAGGCTGTGGGAAAGAATCCATCCTGTGCCACCCTCCTCACTTCTGAAAATAGTTGGCACCCCAGTCCTTGGCTTGTGGATCTCTGCCATTGTCCTTGAACAGCACTCCCTGTGTGCGTGTGTCCAAGTCTTCTTATAAGGACATCAGTCACACTGACTGTGGAATTAGGCCCACCCTAATCCGATGACCTCATCTTAACTTTGTCTTCAACAACCCTACCTACAAATACGGTCACATTCTGAGGTACCTGGGGTTAGGGCTTCAATGTATGAATTTAGGGGAGGGGACACCACTTAGCCACAGCGCCCGCCCACGAAACTGCTCCCTTACGTTATGACTGGGACTGCTGTCAGGGTTTCACCCGGTCTCCTTATGCATCGCTTCCTGCCACGCTCTGCCAACAGGGGCGTCAGAGAGGCCTGTGCTGCGGGCCGAGGGCTGTGGCTTCAGATGGCACCACTGCT